ATATTCCAACGTTAAAAAAAAAAACATTAGAAAACTTATCGTTGGAATCGTCACATTCCATCTAAAACTTCCATGGAAAGTTAGAATTTATGTTGGAATTCCAACAGAAATTATACAAATAAAAAAAATGATCATTTGAATCATCACATTTCACACATTGGAATCATGTCAACAAAAAATATATCATTAAAATATCCAGTAGAATATGTTACAGTGAGATTTTCTTTTAAAATATGACATTTTTTTAGTTATAAGAGTTATTTTAACATAAAGAATTATTGTATGGCTAATTTATTAAATATTATTTCAAGATATACATATTATTATTTGTATACAAAAATTACATTTTTAGAGTTTGGTTATTAAGTTACTAAATTATCATTTTCACATTTAGGGGTAAATTGCATCAAACCCCCCTGTGTTTAACGAAATGTGCGCGTTTCCCCACTGTGTTTTAAAAACTGCACCAGACCCCCTTGTATTTATGTAATTGTTGCACGGTTCCCCCATTCCGTCCAAGTTAACCGCGCGTGTGTGACACTTTCTCTAGCTGCGAGATTTATTCAATTTTTTTATTTTCAGAATTACTAATTTACCATTTTACCCTTCTGAATCTTATTGCAAAAGCCAAAAATTTATAATGTAGGAAGTGAGATTCGAACCCGAGGTGCCTAAGAGAGAGCATGACAACAAAGCCACTGGGCTACATGAATGTTGTGTTATCTATTGAACACACATATATTTATAATATAATACGAAAATGATTAAATAAAATAAAAATAAAGAAAATAAAATAAATAAAAATCTGATACGTAAATTAATATAAATTAAATAACTATTAATAATAATAATAACTTGAAATAAAATAAATTAACATAAAAATAATGAAACAATTAATTAAAATAAAGTAAGATAAAATTTAATATATAGTAGCACGAATTAAAGTTAAATACATTTATAATTTTTAATTACTAAAATAATTTAATTATATAAATTTTGAAATAAAAAACAATGATACTAAAATTAAATAATAATTAAATACAATTAAACTAAAGATATTATAAGATAATAAGGTATACAAATTGTAAAGTAAAATAATATAATCAGATAAATTATTATGTTATAATAAATTAAAGTAAATAAAATAAATAAAAATCTAAAAGGTAACTAAATATAAATTAAATAATTAATAATAATAATAATAATAATAATAATAATAATAATAATAATAACTTGAAATAAATTAAATTAACATAAAAATAATGTAACATTTAAAATAAAATAAAGTAAGATAAAATTTAATATAGTAACATTAATTAAAATTAAATAAATTTATAATTTTATTTTTTTTAGTACAATATAAGAAGCCGAAGCCTAAGCGAGCACTAAGACATCACACGACGTGGACGAGCCACCCCTAAATAAAAATAAAATAAAAATATTATAAGATAATAAAGTATAAAAATTGTAAAGTAAAATAATATAATAAATCAAATAAGTTATTATGTTATAAAAACACAATTTAGCAAATACGTGTAATATAATTTACTCTAACATACAATATCACTAAAGAAATTGAAATAAATTATAATTTTTTAGTAAATGATTTATTTTTTTAAAAAATAATTTTAATTTCTAATTTTATTATTAAAATTTAACATAATTTGATTACATTATCTTAAGATAAACAAAATAAATAAAGTTTGTTAACTAAGATAATATAAAATGAACAATGCAATAATAATATAAAATACAACAAATAATAAAATATAAAATAAACTAAATATAATTTAATAAATATTATTATTTTAACTTTGATTTTTAAATTTATTTATAATTTATTTTTATTATTTTGTTTTTGTTTAATATAATAAGTTATTTTTATATTTTCGTTTTGGTTAATTTTATATAACTTGGTTCATTATATTTTAATTTATCATATATTTATATTTTAATAATTTAATTTAATATGATTTATATTACTTTTAAATTAAATTCATTTATCCATATGTAATGCCTATGTATATTAAACTTTACCACATTTAACACTCAAGGTTGAGTGGTGTAGTGGTAGCTTGCTTTGCATGCTCATTTTGAGGTCACAGGTTCGAACTTGCGAGACAGCATCTGTCACTTAAACACAAGGGGGTCTGGTGCAGTTTTTAAAACACAGTGGGGAAACGCGCATATTTCGTTAAACACAGGAGAGTTTGGTGCAATTAACCCTCACATTTAGTACATGTTGTCTTGCTGTGTTTTTTTTTTAGAAAAATAAAAATAAAATTTAAAGGCTTGATAAGTTGAAATATTAAAACAATGCTAGTAAAAAAAATTCAAAATAATGTATTTTAATCTAAATAATTCTAGCCCGGGCAGATTTCAAATCCTGGCTCCGCCCCTGTTTCGTCGATGTCACCGGAAGGGGTTACACCAGCTGTAACTTGGCTGCCTTTATTACGGGATACTTTTGAGCCACACACCTTCGATTTGTTATGGAATTGAAGTTTCTTTTCCACGAGCTTCTGGTGAACATTAGGTTTAGTCTGGCGGAGACGGGTGGGGCTACTTCCGACGTTGGGGGAATCGATATTCACCATTTTGTGTGCTTATGTTTTCTTTCTCACGGAAGAAGAAATGGATAAAAGAAAAGGCTTGGGACTAGGAATAATGGCGTCAAGGATAAAAGAATGAAAAAGAATGGAGAGATTGGAGGTGACATGCGGCTTGGAAATTATTGATGCAAAGTGATAAAAAGGTAGTATCCCATTAAAGTCCGCAATTGCCAGTAAAACTCAACCCTACTTAATAATTATCTTTGAAAAAGGTAAATAAAAAGTATATAAGAATCTAGTACATATGCAATATTAACATCAGTTTCTATATGTTTGCGATTAAAATATATTAGTATATAAGCAATACTAGTACATGACCCGTGCAATGCACGGGTACAATAATCTTGTATTAATTAAATTGGAAAATAAATATAGATTAATATAAAAATATTATATAACATAAATTTTATTTTATTTTGATGTTCTTAATATTTAA